CCTAGTCCGCCATCTTGCCGGAACTCCAGTTTTGTTAACTTTTATGAGGCTATTTTCATTTCACTTTTCCAACCAATGAATCATTTTGTTGAATTCCTCATTCTTTTTTTTTAACTTGATTTTTCCTTTCTTGTTCTTTTGCTCAGCCACAATGGGATTATCATCCACTGAGGTATGTTACAATAAGAAGGCCAGAATTTACATGGAGACAGTTATTGAAAATTTTTCCATAGCAAAAAATAATTTATAGTTTTATCACTTAAAAAAAAAAAAGAGCATTTTTAAAGTTCTCCCGCTCCCCCCCCAGTGGTGGCAACATCATATTTTCTGGTCGAGCTCCAAGATTGGTATTTTAATAAGCAAATGAATGTGGATCAGGTTTTAAATCAGATGGTGGAATCTTGAATGCAGTACCTTTACAAATTGGATAGGCTGATAGAAACTTCCAGGGGATGAGTGAGGAGCCCAGGTTTTGATCACTCTAATTGGGTAAACTTTGCCTGTCACAGGGTGTGTCTGTGAGAATGTGAGCTGGTCAAGAGCACAGCAGAAATGTGCTTGTTCAGAGTTAAAGATAAATGGCAACTATGAGTATTAAGCCTGGAATGATAATTCTGCTTTCTGACAAAGAACTTTCCCAGTGGTACTGACCATAGTTGTCTTTGAATATGACTTTTCTGACATTCCTACCTCTCTGGGTTCCCGCAGGATGAGGGTGAGGACCCTTGGTACCATAAAGCTTGCAAGTGTGATTGCCAAGGTGGCACCAACGCTCTGTGGTCTGCTGGAACCACCTCCTTAGACTGCATACCCGGTAAGTGTCCCCTCTCCTTGGGGACACTGGATCTTAACAGTCCTTGGGAACACCCTACTTTTTCTCTTTCTTTCAATGCTCTGCTGTGGGTGTGTGCAAGCCTCACTGTGCAGCCACAGAGAGATGGTCTGCCCGCACTTCGCTTATGCTATCACCAAAGATCCCCATTCCCTGCTGGGAACAGACCTAGCAGCAGGGTTGGCCAGGTGCTATGTAATGCACAGGTTTAGCTAAGTGGTTTCTGGGAATGTTGATAAGTGCTCAGGGCCAAAGGGGAAGGATGTGCTGACAGACCACTGTCTACTATGGGATGTCTTTTGTGTCAAGATGCCCCCAGAAAGGGAGTCAGCATACACTCTCATCTCATCCAAGAAGCCAGGCCAACACATCTAGGCCTAAGCACCAGGTTCAATTGTGGGTCACAGGAAAAGGTGGCAGGCTGCACTCGGACTTCCCCCTTCCACAAATATTCATTGTTATTTCTATACTTTCAGGGGAAATGGAATCCAACAATTTAGTTGTTCTAAACCTGATTAATCATCAGAATCACCAGGGGGGTTTGTTAAAAATAAAAATGCCTAGGCTCCCACACCCCTGAGAAATTCTCTATTTGGTAAACTATGCCTCCATCACAGACTTCTATTGTGTCTACCTTATGAAACCAAACCAGTTGCCGTCAAGTCTGACTCATGGGGACCCCATGTGTTGCACGGCAGAACTGTGCTCCACATGATATTCATGGCTATGACCTTTTGGAAGCAGATCAACAAATCTTTCCTCTGAGGCACCTATGGTTGGGTTTGAACAACCAGCCTTTGTGGTTAGTGCATTTAACCACTTGTGCCACCCAGAGACTCCATGCCTATATAGCAGGCACTGAACAAATACAGGCCCCGTCCCTGGCCTGGACTTTTGCTACAGTCTGTGTCCATTACTGTCCCTCTTTAACCTGTTCTCCACAGAGCAGCCAGTAGGATCTTTTTAAACTGTGAAATCATGTCACTTCATTTCCCCAAATGCTCCTACAACTCTCCATCTCGTGCAGAATAATATGCTGAATCCTTACAGAGGTTGACAAAGCCCTGTATCAGTGGTTCCTGGCCCTGGACACATTTGAAACAGCTGGTGAGCTATGAATACTCCAATGCTTGGCCTGACCTCAGGCCTACAGAAACAGAATCTCAAGGGGAGAGGCTCAAGTAGGGTTGCCAGATAAAATACAGGATGCTCAAAGTTGAATTTCAGATAAACAATGAATGCTCTTTAGTATGAGTGTATCCCAAATATAGCATGAAGCATGTTGTTGTTGTTATGTGCCATGGAGTCGGACCCGACTCATAGTGACCCCTCCTTGGGTTTCCGAGGCGGTATCACTACGGAAGTAGATTGCCCCATCTTAAGCATACTTATTTAAAAAAATAAATTCTTCATTATTTATCTGTAATTCAAATCCAACTGGGTGTCCTGTACTTTTATAAAAAAACACATTTTATTGAAATATAATTTATGTACAGTGAAATACACCTAAAGTGACATGGGTCAATGCATTTTTTTTGCAGTGTTCCCTCCCTCCTCTCCCCCCGGCAATCAACAAAGAAAGTTTCCTTCTATATATAAACCTTTCCTTGACCCTCCACAACAACGAACTAATACTATATTTGTCCTTCTGTGAATGACTTATTTCACTCAGCATAATGTCCTCCAAGTTCATCCATGTTATGCAGTCTTTTGCAGACTCTACATTCATTATTCTTTAGTGTTGCATAGCATTCCATTATGTGTATGTACCATAGTTTGATCATCCACTCTTCCGTTGATGGCCATGTAGATTATTTCCATCTTTTTGCTATTGTAAATAGTGCTGCGATGAACATGAGTGTGCATATATCTCTTCCTGTACTGGCTCTCACCTCTCTAGGATGTACGCTTAGTAATGGGATTGCTGGGTCAAATAGTATCTCCAATTCCAGCTTCCTAAGGAATTGCCATGTTGCTTTCCACAGTGGTTGTATCACTTCAGTCTCACCAGCAGTGTATGAGAGTCCCAATCACTCCACATCCCTGCCAGCATTTGTTATTTCCTGTCTCATTGAACCTTGCCATCTGTGCTAGGGTGAGATGGTATCTCATTGTTGTTTTGATTTGCATCTCTCTGATGGCCAATGATCATGAGCATCTCTTCATGTATTTGCCTGAATATCCTCCTTGGTGAAGTGTCTATTCATGTCTTCTGCCCATTTTTCAATTGGATTGTTAATTGCTTTGGTGTTGAGGCTTGGAGTTTTCTATAAATCTTAGAGATAAGTCCCTTGCCAGATATATAATTATCGGCCAATATGAATTTGTTGCTGTCATTTTTGTTATGTGCTTTTTCGTAGTGTTCATTTCTTTGTTCCATATTATTTTCTGTGCTGAGCTCATTTTGTTTATGAATCATGTTATCACTTCCTTTGTTGCTATTGTTTTAGTATTTGCTAAATGTTTGTGGTGGTTCTCTTTTTGATTTTGATGTGAAGGTTTATCATTTTTCTTTGAGGTTACCCTGTGATTTATAGTTTTCTTCCCAAGTTTAGGACAGTCTGATCTATCTTGTAGTTGTCTTGACTTCCCTACCATCTAGAAGTTCTGTAGCTACACATTTTTTTCCCTCTTTTTGGTTTGTAGTTGTCCTCATTTGTCAATTAACGTTCTGGTTCCCTGTTTACAATCTTGTAGGCTTATTTACTTTGGATACTTCCATAGCTGGGTTGGTTTCTGGGTTATGTCATCATGTGCATTAATGGTCAGTTGTTGTTGGCTGTTGTTGTTTTTCTGTCCAAAGGGCTCCCATTAGCATCTCTTATAAAGTTGGTCTGGTTTTAACAAATTCCCTCAATTTCTGCTTATCTGGACATGTCCTAATTTCACCATCATATCCGAGAAATAATTCTTGGCTGGAAATTTTTCTCTTTCAGGGTTTTATATATACCATCTCATTGCGTTCTCACCTGCATGGTTTCTGCCGAGAAATCTGAGCTTATTCTTATTGGTTGCCCCTTGTAGGTAACTTTTTGTTTTTCCCATGCTACTTTCAGGATTCTTTCCTTGTGTCTCGTTTTGGTGAGTTTGATGATGACATGTCTTGGTGATTTTCTTTTGGGGTCTATGCTGTTTGGGGTTCATTGGACTTCTTGAATGGATATATTCTCATCTTTCATCATAGCAGGGAAATTCTCTTCCAACAAATCTGTGACAATTTTCTCAGTGGTTTTATATTTCTCTTCCTCTTCTGTAATTCCAATGACATGTAGGTTAGTCCTTTTGATGGTATCTCACATGAACCTTAGGCTCTCTTTATTTTGTTTTGATATTTTTTCTGATTGATCCACTTTCCAAAGAAGTATTGAGGTATTTGCCTTCAATCTCATTAATTCTGTCTTCCACTGACTCAATTCTACTCCTTTGCCTGTTCAATGTGCTATCTATTTCTGAAAATCTAGTATTAATCTTCTGGATTTCTGTCTGTAGATTTTGTATCACTTCTAATTTTTCATTTATTTTGTCATTTTGTTCTTCTATTGTCTTTCGAAATTATTCTAGGGTTTTCTGTGTGCTTTCCTCAGTTTTGTCAGTGTTTTCCTTGATCTGACTCTCAATTTGTTGAGGGTACCTAAATATAATTCTTTTGAATTCCTTATCAGGGAGTTCCAATGCTGTGTCTTCCTCAGGGATGTGTTTTGGATTTGTATCCTGGTCCCTTGTTTCTCCTGCTTTATCTTGCTTCTTTTTGTGGACTATGATGCTCTGTTGTCTCCAAGGCATTGTGACATTTTGTGTTTATATTTAATTGGTGATTGTATGTTGGAGTGACTTGCCCATGATTTTTGTTTACTTTGTATGTTATCTACATAAGCAGGGTACTGTGCTCCTCTATTCGCTAGTTGGCAGCACTTATACACTCACCACCTGTCTCCTTTCCCGTTGCCAGCCTCCTATATGTCTCTGCCATCCTTGGCAAACAGAGCCTATTATTAGGTCCCTGGAATTTGAATGAGAATGCTGTCACTTTAAAATAAAAAATGGCCACCACTTGTAAAGGTTCAAAATGGCTGCATCTTCAGTCACTTTAAGTATCCAAAATGGCCACCGCTTGTAAGCAATCAAAATGCCTGCATCCTCGGGATAGCTGAAAGTCCACAGCTCAGATTGTCTCCCTCATTGCTGTTTCCCTTCCTCGTCATAAGCCACCAGCGCAATCATCCCTGCAGCCCTTGGAGATCAAGGCTGATCTTTAGGTCAATTCTCATGTTCCAAGACCTGTTGGTCCCATCAGAGTAGCTGACAGTCCATTGCTCCGACCATCTCCGTACTCACTGTTTTCGTTCTGGTTTTTCCACTAGTTGGTGCCTAATCCACTTCTGTATCCTTTCTTTCAAAGCTCAGAGCTCCAGGATTATCTTCTGTATCTCTGTCAATTGGTTTCTCTTTTCTTTGTTGAAGAGGTCTGTGGAGCTTGCCTGCCTATTCCTCCATTTTACTGGAAGTGTCCTGTATTTTTTAAAAAAACGTTTTATTGTGCTTTGGGTGAAAGTTTACAGAGCAAATTACTTTCCCACTCAACAATTTATATACATTTTGTTCGTGACATTCAAACTCACTGCCATGGAGTCGAACCCGACTCATAGCGACCCCTCCTTGGGTTTCCGAGGCAGTATCACTACAGAAGTAGATTGCCCAACCTTCCTTCTAAGGAGTGGCTGGCTGGTGGTTTTGAACCACCAGCCTTCTGGTTAGCAGTCAAATGTCTTAGGCACTATGCTACCAGAGCTCCCTTTTTTGTTTGTTTGTTTGTTTTGATTTGCTTTGGGTGAAAGTTTACAGAACAAATTACTTTCGCATTCAACTATTTACACACATTTTGTTTCATGACATCAGTTACAATCCCCTCAATATAATAGCACCCTTCCCACTTCCTCCCTGGGCTCCTCGGTTCTATTCATCTATCTTTCTTGTCCCTTCCT